GAACCCCTCCAGGTGGTGCCCCCGGGCTGGTCGGCATCGCCGAGCTGCAGCCGCGCCCCCGCCGCGTCGGAGCTGTGGAGCCCGCCAGGTAGCTCTGCAGGTCATTCTACGAGGGACGAGACCCAGCCACGGCCGTGCTGGAGCTCGACTCCTAAATGCAGGGCTCGCGTTTTACAGCGCAGTCTCTCCCAGAGCGCGTGTTCCCATAACACGTTCGTTCAGTAGATTCCACGTTCCGGCTCTAGCCCTGTCAGGCAGACAACCGGGAGAGGCACTTGGCCGCTCTGAGGTCTCCAGGGAGAGAGCAGGTGTGCACGGGAGCCGAGCAGAAACAGGAGGGAGGATGAGGGGTGTCAGGAGGAGGGACGAGGGGCAGGGGTGCACTAAGTATAGATTCGGGGTCCAGTGGAGCAGCTGCTTCTCGCTGCCCGCCTGCTGTCCGCCTGGGCTCCTGTTGCTCAACAAGAGCCAGAAATCCAGCCTAGCTCCAGCTCACCATCTTCTTGTGAAAAGTAAATGAGACACCTCCGTGTTCGCCTGGCTCGGCACAGGTCCTCATCGAGCCCCCCATGTCATCTCTTCTTATCTCCTGCCTGCCTCTCTTCTCATTGCCCCCACAGCATATCCATGTCTTTCTGTGTTTCAGAAACTGTCTTCTGTATAGCTGGTCACATCACCGTCTGTGTGCGCATGTTCAGAAATGCTCGGGCCCTGGCACTGTCATTGGCTGTGATTCAGGTAGGAGTCTACGCTGCGGGGAGAGGAATTTTAGATGCGTGCTGGTTAGAAGTCAAGATTTTCAACTTCCCTCTTGTCCTGGATTTGTGGGCAGGATGTCTGAAAGAATAGAGAGGACAGACGTTGGGACTCAGCCGAGCCGACAAAGGAGACACGGCCTCTTTTCTCAACTATCTCGAAAGTGGATGGGAAGGACAGGATGTAAATGTACGTATAAAATAAACATTAAATACTTGCAGGTGATCACTAACATTTATTAAGTGTTACTATGTAGCAGGTATGGTGTGCAGGATTTTATCCATACAAACCCACTTCATTAACAGCCCTATTTTGTAGATGAGACAATTTGTGTGCTGAACAGTTTGCCCCGCAGTGCAAAACTCAGGGTGAGAGAGATGAACCTAGGATTGTGGTTCTACTGCTCTTGGCCATTGGACTCCCTTGCCTCTTACAGAATTTTGCTAGGTGTAAATTCAAACCAAACAGTCTTAAGATGAAGACAAATTTTGAGTTTTAATATTTTGAAAACATTTAACACTAAGTTCAACATAATGTCTAACATTAAACAGATCCAATTGTCAAACCGAATTCCCCTGGGAAATGAGAGGACTGTACAATGCACTACTAGCTTTTTAAGCAGAAAGAAAGAGCTGATCATTTTGTCTGTTTCTTCTCCGTCCCATAAGATTGGCCCTGACATCAAAAGGCGTGGATTTCGGCTGCGTGGTTTACTGGATAAATAAATTGGTGGTGCCTGAGCCAGCTGTCAGAGTGGGAGCTGATGGAGAGCAAGGAGGCCGCCTCCTGGAATAGCAGATGGAAGCCTTGTCTTCCCCGGGCTGTCCTGACGCTGCGCTCCACTTAGTGAGCTGGTTGAATGGAGCAAAGAGCCATACTTTCCATCAACTAGAGATTGGTGAGATCAGACAAGAGGAAGAATCCTCTTCTTGCCTTGGGTTGCACCTCTGGCTTCCATTACAAGTTACAATGGAAAGTCTTTGCTTGTGGCAGAACGTGTGGAAAGTGTGACAGTGCGGCAGACCGCTCCCAGGCAGAGAGCAAACCTGAGGGCCTGCACCTGCAGAATGCTGCCTCACTCACCACACAGGGTCTGCGGGTTTTCTCTGTCACTTCCTGGCCCAATGATGTGTGGGCCCTGTGCTTCCATCAGATGACCTTTATCCCCGCTCTGCCTACGTGCTAACCATCACGGGGGAGAGGCAGGGGCACTGAGGGGCCAGGGAGCTTCTCCTGCCCTGATGCAAATTTAAGACCCGCTTTTCCAGCAGAGCCTGTGTGCCTGTATCTAGCAGCTGGGATAAAAACAAAAACTAAAAACACTCAAGTTTCTTTTGTTCTACCTTGTTTCTCATTATTGTTAGGTACTTCGTGTATGTTCAGCACCAGTTCTTTTGTTCTTTTTTCAATACTGAGAATTGAACCCAGGATCTTGGCTTTGAGCTACATCTCTAGTTTCTTCTCCCCTTGGTTAAATTTTATTTTGAAGTGGGGTCTAGTTATGTTGCTAAATTGCCCAAACTGGGCTGGAACTTACAATCCTTCTGCCTCCCCCACCCAGTGTGCTATGATTATAGGTATGTGCCATCACACCTGGGCAGCAACATATTTAAAGAGCAGACCTACACTGCACCTGGGACATGCTTTTTGTATTTGCTCCAGGGATCACCTGCTTAATCATTTGCATCTCTGTTCATGGTTTGGTTGTCTCATAGGTTTTTGGCTAAAGAAATTAGAGTTCTATTGTTCTAAATTTAGACCTGATGTCTTCATTATAGCTATGGCATTTCTTCTTTAGAATGGTACTTATTCGGTGGGGTGAGGTTTTGAACAATGCCCACGTAATCCCGAGTCACATCACCCATGTCATAGAAAACAGGGCAGAAGCACGAAGAAGGAAAGATCTAACTCAGGGAGCGCCTGTCCTGGGAAAGACTGACAAGGTGCAAGTGTCTTTGCTCTGATCTTCCTCCGTATTCATGACCTGGAGTCATCCCTGGGAGTCCCGTGCTACTTTTTTTGGGCAAATAACGGGCTCTAACTGCAGCAGTGTCCCTTATACATCTCCTCTGACCCCATACAGATCTCCCTTTTAAAACAACTTTGCAGTTATAGTTTCAATAACATAACATTCACCCAATCAGTGAATTTTTAGTAAGTATATACAGTGGTGCCTCAGTTTATGAATTTACTTGTTTTATGATTTGGAGGAAGCCAGCTGGATTTGTGTTTGTGTGGGGAAGAAGGTCATGGTCACGTTTGTCATCCATGTGGAGTTTGCAAATAGAAGCAAAATTTTGCATAACATTTTTGTTTGCAAACTGAATTGTGTGCAAACAGAAGTGTTCATGAACCAGAGTGTTATTCTACAGTTGTGTATCCGTAACTGGAATGGAATGCACAGTGTATGTCCTTTGTGGTCAATCCCCACTGCAGCCCAGCCTCTGGCAAGAGATTTGCTTTCTGTTTCTACAGTTTGGCATTTTGGTGAACATTTATAAAAATAAGTCTGTAGCATTCTGTGTCAATTAGAGTAATGTTTTTGAGCTCCATCTACTTAGTTGCATGTCAGCAGTGTGTTCTTCCTAATTGGAGTGTGTAGTTAGTGTGCCATTGTGTGAATGTGCACTATTATGTTTATTCACAGACTGGTGAACATTGGATCGTTTCTACTTTGGAGCTATCATATTCACAATGCTGTCAAGGACATTTGAATACCAAGTTTTTTGTACACATATATTTTCATTTATTCTTAGACAAATATGTAAAATTACTTTCATTATATTATAAATGTACATTTAATCATTTAGAAATCACCAAATGGTTTTCCAAAGTGGCTTAATGGTATTGCATTTGTTCCAGGCATGTGAAAGTGTTCCAGTTTCTCCACATTCTTGGCAACATTTGTTACTGCCAGTCTTAATTTAGCCAATCTTGAAGGAGACCCAGGACATTGCTGTGGTTCTACTTCTTATTTCCTTTCTGAATCACAATGTATCTTTTCCTCCTCTTATCTTCCATTTGTGTGACTTCTGTGGCAAATGTGCATCCAGATATTTTGCTTCCTTCTTCTGGCCTCTTTATCAGTGAGTTCTAAGAGTTCTTTATATATTTTGGATGTATTGTACTGTATTTTTTTTTCCCCTCGAGTATGTGTTTTGCAAATATTTTCTCCTGGTCCGTGGTTTGCCCTTTCGTTGTTGTAACTGTGATTTTTGAAAAGCAAAATTTGAGATTTTGATGAAATACAATTTATCAGTTTTTTCTAGTATGGATATTTTGAGTGACTTATTTTGCTTTTTAGAAGTTTGTAGTTTTTATTCTCATATTTAGGTCTATGATTTGTTTCTTGTTTGTTTGATTTGATGGTGCTAGGGGTTGAACCTAGGGCCTTCACATTGAACTAATATCCCTAGGCCTTTTTATTTGGGACAGGGTCTCACTAAGTTTCCCAGGGTGGGTTTGAACCTCTAGACCACTTCCCTCAGTTATCCGGAGTACTGTGATTATGGATGTGCACACCACACCAGCTTCAAGTTAATTTTTGTACATGGAGTAAGATAAGGATCAAGGCAGTGTTGTTGTTTTGTTTTGTTTCTATGCATATTAGATACCCACTCTAGCACCTTCATTAAAAATTAATTGATCGTGTGTGTGAATCTACTTCTGGGTTCCTTATTCTTTTCCATTGACTTATATGTCCATCTTTTGAGCAATATCACACTGTCTTAATTACTGTAGCTATATAACAAGTATAGAAATCAGTTAGAGCAAATGATCCAATGTTGTTTTACAACTGTTTTGGCTAATCTAAGTTAGGGATTGGTATCTTTGTGAATAAAATTTTCTTTACACATACTTATGCCTGTTCATTTATGTATTTTCTGTGGCATTTTTGAAATATAATGGTGAGAGGAGTATTTCCAATGGAGATTTTGTGGACTGCAAGGCCTAAAATATTTAGCATATGGCCACTTATAGAAAAAGTTTTCTGGCCCCTGGTCTAGTTCTTTATGTTGTCATATAAAATTATTTTATCAATTGGTGGAAAATAAGCCTGCTAGGATTTTCATAGAGATTAAGTTGAATCTATGAATCAGTTTGAAGGGAACTGGCATTTTCACAATAAGTCTTCCAATTCATGAACATGGTATTTCCTTTCAGTTATGTGGATGCTTAATTTTTCTCAGCAATTTTGTAAGTGTCAGTGAACATTTTGTTTAATTTATTCATAACTATTTCATTCCTTTTGATACTTATTATAAATAAAAATTTAATTCTACAAAGTGTGATAAAATATGGTAAATGTTTAAATTTTAAAAAATTTATTATGTTAAAAAATACATTGCCTCTAATCCTCTCAAAATACTTCCCCTCATGTCAAACATCATTCTTACCACTTTCATTTTGTTGTTGTTGTTGTTGTTGTTTTTGGTACCAGGGATTGAACTCTGGTCCTTGCGCTTGCGAGGCAGGCAGTAGAACCACTGAGCTAAATCCCCGGCCCTCTTGCCACTTTCTGAAGCAATTCTGAAAGTCTTCTTGTGTGAGTTTTTAGTTGCCTTGTCACGGTTGCCTCAATGTCTTCAATGTGTCTGTCTCAATGTCCTAAATCATTTCAAAACATTTACTTTTCATGGTTATTTTGACTTTGAGAAAGCCAGGAGTCACATGGTGCCAAAGCCAGTGAATAAGATGGATGAGATACACCATAATCTTTTTATTTGACAGACTTCCCCATAAACATTTCACAAGAGACAATAAAACAATATGGTGAATGTTCAAAATATAATTATAGTAAAAGACACATTGCTTAATCCCCTTCAAACTACTCAAAATACTTAATTCAAAAGCATACCATTGTTCTTGGCAATGTGTCCTTTACTATAATAAGTTTTTAAAAATAAGCATCCACTTTATTTTTTCATTACTCCTTATATTTTCACATCATTCATTGACATTAGAAAAATACAATGGATTTTATGTTACATCTTGTGACTTTGTTAAACTTGGTAATTATTCTAGTAAGCTTTTGGAGTTTTCTTAGGATATTTTTACATGCAAGATCATGCCTTCCACAAATAAAGACAATTTATTTTAGCTCTCCTTCCAATCTGTATGCCTTTATTTTTCTTGGTGTATTGTGCCTCTACAACCTCTAGTAAAATACTGAATAGAACTCCTGAGAGCAGACATCCTTGCCTTGTCCCAATCCTAGGGAAAGCTTTTGCTTAAGTCTTAACATCACTGCACTGCAGGCTTCTTATAAATCCTGTTACTAGACTGAAGGAATTCTGGTATAATTCTAGTTTCCTGAGTTCTTTTTAAAATCATGTGTGTTGGGTTTCAACGTAATCATATGAATTTTATTTTTTGTTTTGTTGATATGATGTATTGCAGTAATTCTCAACTAGGGTATTTTGCTCCCCAGGGGATATTTGACAGTGCCTGGAGAAATTTTTGTCTACTAGCAAGGGAAAATTTGGTGATTAGAGAGGATTCTGCTAAACATTCTTTAGTTTGCAACAAATATCTAATCTGAAATATCCATACTGCTGGTATGGGGAAATCCTGGCGCGTTATATTATTGGTTTCTAAATATTAAACCAAGCATGCACTCCTAGTATAAACTCCACTGGAAAATATTGTACAGTCCTTTCTTAAAAATATTTATTAAATTTATTGGTATATTTTAAGTATACAATACAGTTACATTCATCAATGGGACCTTGTACCTTTACATGACTTATCTTGGTTCTTATTTTCCCCCATTCCCAGCCCTCCCTTCAGCCCCCCCACCCTTCCCTGCTTACAAAGACACTGTTTCCATGTCTTTCCTTTTCACATCTTTTTTCTTTTCTCTTTTTACATTTCTCCTACCCCTCCCACTTTCCCTAC